GGGGGGGGGTTATTAATGGAACATATAGTTTAATGACTCTTTCAAGTTAAAGCAAGAAAGCATTATAATGTTCTTCAGTAGTATTACAGCCAGAGAACAGAATGTGCCAATCAAGAGAGGATAAGTCGGCAGCTATGAGTTCATAATTGGCTTTATTTTAATTGAGTTTTGGGGATCCATCATTATGATCCTCTTTGAGATGGTGTAAATTTAGACAAAAGTCAGTCATACTATGGTCACTGTTTAAAAATGGTTCCTGTATTTGTACGTCATAAATTGAGTTTGAGCTGTTGAGGTCGAGGCAGTTGTTTAGTCTAGTGTTGTTATATACTAATTGATCCAGTCCAAGTGTGGTAACGGCATTATACAGGGTTGCATGAATGAGTTTGGATGTACATTCATTTAGTGTCCAATTTATAAGAGGTAAGTTGAAATCACCAAGAAAAATAAGACGGTGTGGGCAAGAGGCAGCCCATGTCAGTAGTGAAGTTAGCTTGTTTGCATGAATTATGTCATAGTCAGGGGCTCGATAGCATAGTAAGAAGCGGATTGAGGTATTTAAGGACAGTTCACAGATGATGGTATCAGGAAGAGCAAGTTCTTGTATAATTTGAATCTTTTTTAGATTTAGAGACTTTTTATAGAATATAGCAACTCCACCTCCTCTACAGATTTTGCAATCAGATCGATAAACGTGATATTCTCTTACAGTGGTAATGGAGTCAGGAAAAGATGCATTCAACCACGTCTCATAGACAAATATAATGTTGAATGTGGCTGTGCTTAATAAGATGAGGAATTCATGCATTTTATTTGCATTGAGTAGTTTGCATTTAAGATATGAAGTAGTGGATCTGGAGGAAGTAAGGGGCATGCATCCCTAATGTTGGATGTTTGGGTGATGGTTATTGGGATGTAGGTTGCTTTTGATACAATCTGCATGGTAGTCAATGTATAGATTAGTATTACCTAATTAACGTAATCTTTTGAGCTCAGAGCGTAGTTCATGGGATCGTATACATTGCTGTAAGGTTAGATCAGGGCAAGAATGAAGGTTCTTATGGTTGTTATATCTTGAGCCGTCACAACCAAAGAGCAGACACTCTCTCGAGAAAACCAGAATATTCCTGCATAGAAGACAAGCTCCTGCCCAGGAGGCTTCTGCCCATAAAGTCTTTCACTGCAGTTCAGGAGCCAGTGGATTTATGGGCTCAGATCTGGGAGGCATAATGCATGATGTGCAGGTGGATCAACAAGGGGAGGAGTTGGAATTAAACTCCCCATGAATCTTCACCTAATAACTCCTAAGGTATTGCAACCAGCTGTATATTCCTGTGGGACCGCTCTGGGGACTTAACCTCTCGCAATGCCATGACAATCCTGCTGCGGGATATTTTGGCCTCTTGAAGACTCTAAACCTGGTCTCCCGCACTTTCTGGTGGCCCTGATTGCAACACAATGTCCATGTCTGTCATCAGTGCATCATCCTGAAACAGAAGGAGGAACTGAGAAAGTGATCTGAACCCTGGAACAATAT